GTCTACTCCACTGTATTTGGACGTCGAAAGACGCCATTTGGACCTCAGGTCTGTCTTCCAATTTTTGAGCCATAGTAGCCTACGTGAGGCCACTGTGGCCGCAATGGATCTAGCCGCATACTTTGTTGCGTACAGTGAAGCGTCTGAGACAAATTGCGAGGCCGCGAGGAGCTTGGCCAATGTTTGGTGTATTCTGACCTGGTCTGGAGGCACCGTGCCTTGCAGTTCCCTCAGCCACATGATGCTGGCCCTCGCGAAGAAAGATGAGGAAGTGGCTGCTCTGGCCGCCCAGGCTGCAGCCATATGGGAACGCCGGAGTGAGTGTTCAAATTTCTTCTCCTCAGGCCTCAAGACCTCCGCCATGTCTCCTGGAATCGCGGAGGTAGAAAATAATGAGATTAATGGGTTATCGACAGTGGGAACCTCTAACATGTTAGAGAAGGAGGGAGATAGGTTGAAAAGCTTTCTTTCCGCGCTGTTTGGTGCCGGTGGGCTTGCAAGTGAGGACCATTGTTCCTCCAGCGTGGTCATGAAGACCTCCGCACATGGGATGTACTTATCTTGTGGAACCTTTTTGGCAAACAGAGGATTGGCCTCCTTGCTTGTTGAGGGCTTCTCATCCTGTACTGATGTTAGGTTGACTGTGGAAACAGCCTTTACCAGGAGTGATTTTAGGAGCGCTGGGTTAAAGAGTCCAGAGCTCGTTGCCTGCTCAGGTGCCGTCTCCTCGTCCTCCGAGAGGGGCATGTCTGACATGTCGAGGTCCACTGAGTCACCCTCTCCCAGTTGAGAGGAAGTTTCAGAGGTGCTGGTAGGGGGTGGCCTAGCCCGACCCTTACGGGGTGTGTGAAAGGCCACTTGTCCCTTAGAAGCCATGAACTGGGAGAATGCATCCTGCATGAATGCATGGAATTGTGCCGACCAAATGCCCTCCTGCGCTTTGTCGTTAGAGTGAGGCGCTGGGGTGCGGTCGGGTGAAGAAGCTGGTGAGGAGGGGTTGGAGGAGTCTAACTGTTCAGTTTCCCCAGGAGGAGACCAAGTCTTAAGCACTTCCTCGGCAGTAGGGTCTGTGCTGGGTGCCACCGCTGGGACAGGGGAAACCGAATTTGTCCCATTGGCATTGGTTCTCTGTGCCCTGCTAATTTGTCTTTCTAAAGCCAAATGTCTCCTCAAAGCCTCTCGCTCAGCCGTTTTAGACTGTCCCTTCTGAGAAAGGTGTTTTGTTTTAGCTTTCTTCTTCCCCCCCACCTCAGATTCAGAAGATCTGCGTTTTTGTTGTTGCTGTGGGGGGGACAATTGAGGGACCTGTGTGACTGAATACGAGACATTGTCTGCCATTGTGCCAGACACCCCGAGTAGGTAGTGCCTGGAGTGGGGGACAGGATACGCAGATCAGATGCAGATGTTTGGGGCTGAGCCCTCCTCTGCCTATACAAACAATGGCCGGACAGACAGGAGTCTTTGGACAGAAGATCCTGCAAGGCAGTGACTAAAGGTCACTATAGGAACAGTCAGAGAAAAATACTCCTCCTCACCTCCTCACTTAGTCCAGAGAAAGTGCAGTTTATACCTCTCTCTCCCCCTGTCTGTGGCTGTGGCAGCAGACCACGATCAGAAAGGGTTCTCTTCCTTTTCCCTCTTCCTTCCTCCTGTCTCAGTTTCTTGCGATAATCCCGGATTTTAGCTTAAGGGCTGCCCCTTTGTCTGCAAAGGAATGGAGTCCGGATGGCCCCGCCCCCAAGGGAAAACGGCGGGAAGGTCCGTTCGCTCAAAATGGCGAATGGGGAAGAAACCACGCCTCCTAATGTTAGCCCGGGAATCCACGAGGTTCAAACAATGGCGGATCTTTGACTCTGAGGCTCTCGCGCCGCTCCGCTGGTCTATGCCGAGCGGCGCCGCGGTTTAGCCGCTTTCCGCGCGGCTCAGCTGTTTCGCGCTGAGCGGCGCCTCGTTCTATCGGCCCCAATCACGCTTTCCGCGCGGCTCAGCTGTTTGGCGCTGAGCGGCGCCTCGTTCTATCGCCCGAACCGCTCAGCTGTTTGGCGGCCCCGGAGAGCGGCGAGCAATCCGGTAGTGAAACCCCCGCCCCACAGCTGCTCGGTGGGCCGGTTATCGGCGGGCGAGCGATCCGGTCCGGCTCCAAGCCTCCCGTTAGTCCCTGACGCCCCACTCACGAATCCGCCGATCCCGGCTGCCTCTCTCGAGTCCTATCCGCTGCCAGACAAATTTTCGTTCAACTGGAGGAAGAGGGGATTCCCTTTTTTTTTTTTTTTTTTTTTTTTTTTAAGTTAAGTTAGTTTGTTCTGAGAGCTGCTTCTCGCACTTCTACCAGGCTTCGAGACTGAGTCAAAACTGGGGTCACGCCCAAAGGAAGGGGTGTGGCCGAAGTTTTTACCCAGTCTGCCAGGCAGGAAGGCCGTCATAGAACCCTTCCATTTGGACTCTACAGTCATCCTGCTGGAGAATGAAGCTGTTATATGAGGCTGTTTTACTGAGCAAAGGGAACAGACCTGCATTCTCAGTGACTAATATGTGATGTCAACAAAGACAGCAGCTTTAATTCATTAATAGAAGAGTAGCTAGTTTTAATCACGGAGTGCCCTGTGGCTGTTGTTTTCACTACAACCCTTCTTTTTCTTTGTCATTTTTAATATTTTAAATAATTTATAAAGCACTTACAGTCGTGTAGCACATACATTTTAACAAGAATGAAAAAAATACAAGCCTTTTCTCACAGATCCAGATGGCCCTAATTTTTCTGTAAGGCTGTGAAGACTCTCTTTTTCCTTCAGGGGTTAGGGCCAGGATATTATTGAACCCAATAGATGCATTTGGTTTTGTGAATTCTTCGAGATGCCATGATTATTGCATTAATGATCATTTCCAATTGTATCGTGTTTTGTTTATGTTGGATCCATTCATCCATATATGTGTTGTGTGTGTGTGTGTGTGTGTATGTGTATGTACGTGTTTAAGATGGGAATAAAAAAAATTGTATAATGATTTTTTTTTTCTAATGTTTTTCCCATAAGTACAGGCTCCCAAAGTCATGCAGCCGGCTTTCATGCCTAAAGCAAGATTAGAACAGCTTCCTGGTTTCTAGCCTGGTGTCTTAGCCACTAGACCAAATGGGCTTTCTACAACAAATATTCATTCATTCATTCATTCATTCATTCATTCATTCATATCATTCAGTCATTCATTCATTTTGTATTTCTGAACCTCCCATCTGCCTCGTATAAAATAAATAAATAAATGCATCCCTACAAAACCCCACTTATCATGTTGGAGAGATATTCTGTAATTTAATACAATTTAATACAATTTAATGTAATGGAACTTGTAGTCCTAGATCAGTGGTTCTCAACCTGTGGGTCGGGACCCCATTTGGGGTCGAACGACCATTTCACAGGGGTCACCAAACAAGGCTGTCCTCCATTTTTTCCCCCTTTTCTTTGGCCACGCCCCTGGCACCTGGTGATGTATAAGGGGTTGGGGGTCACCACAACATGGGGAACTGTATTAAGGGGTCGCAGCATTAGAAAGGTTGAGAACCACTGTCCTAGATTCTTAAAAATTGCGAAAGGGTGGTTAACTGCAGACTTATTTCTGAAGCTAATTTATTCCTTTTGTGTACAGTAATACGGAATGCAAGAGAAAAATGCACAGGAAACCTTTTTTAACACACATAATTAATTTCATTTACTGAATGGTAGATTTTCACAGTTCCTTTAATACAGCCAAAAGAGTCATCTTCTGAGGCTTTGGCAATACACAAGTATAATCAATACATTTCACAGACAATTCAATTCAGAAACAGACAGCTGCTAAGAATAAAATATAATTCACTAACACTAATTCAGCACCAACTTAAAAAGCAGCTTGACTCTAATGTTTATACTGGTTGTGCTCATGGTACATGAACATCCCCTAGCCACCCACTCACCAGTCAACAGATTCACTGTCTTGCGTGCTGCATCAAACAACACAAGATGTCTAGACCTATCGTGCAGCAGTCTTTTTTTTTTTTTAGTTCTTTAGTTCTTACAACGGCTACAAAGGAAGTTGTACTGGCCTTTTCACTTCCTGTCTTTTCATGTTTTTTCTCCAACAGAAGAAATTTTAAAATCCAGTGACAGGATTGTGGTCAGCACTGCTCAGACAGATTCAGGAGGAGTTTCCCCCCCCCCTGCTCCTATCTGACTAAAGGGAGAGACCGAAAAAGAAGAGACTATTTGGGAGTTCCCCAAATAATTCATTTTTGCTGGTCTCTTGTAAACTCAGGAATGAAGAGCCAAATAATATTCAGATAAGTCACTTCCTTTATACGAAGAGATTGAGTTGATTGGAAGGAATTTGTTGAGTCCAAACAAGGCCAGAGATAAACAGTTCATCTGTGCAGGCTGGAGATTTTTCAGGACACATATATCCTGCCTCAGGGATCTCAAGACTCAACTGTTAAGCATGTCATGAAATACAGGTAGTCCTCAATTTACATTCACAATCAAGCCTAAAATGTCTGTTGCTAAGGGCGACTAAGTGAGTTTGTCCCATTTTGCAACCTTTTTTGTCACCGTTGCTAAGTGAATCATTGTAGTTAAGTTGGTAATGCAGCTGTTAAGTGTAATCTGGCTTCCCCTTTGACTTGGCTTGTCAGAACGTCACAAAAGGGTGATCACATGACCCCGGGACTCTGCAACCATCATCAATACATGACAGTTGCCAAGTCTCCGCATTCTGATCACTTAATCGTGGGGATGCTGCAACGGGTCCTAAGTGTGAAAAATTGTCATAAGCCATTTTTTTTTCAGTGCAGTTGTAACTTTGACCTGTCACTAAATGAACTGTTGTAAATGGAGGACTACTTATAGAGCCCACATATAGAAGGATGTTAGAGCAACAACTTATTAGCACTGATGATGTTACCTAGTTTGGGTAATGAAACGTCTGCAAGAAAACAAGCAAGCTCAGAGAGCACCAAGGACCCCTCAACCACTTACTTTTCCGTGCTCTTTTCTCATGTGGGATATGTAAACATCTCTCTGGGTAAACAGCCGATCACATTCCCAGCACGTCCAGCCAGGATTAGACACTTTTTTGGGCTCTGCCTTCTTCACAGAAGTGGGGGAATTCTTCTCTGCTTTTTCTGTCCCATTGATGGATTTTGAGTCCTCTTTACTGTGACTGACTGAATTCTGGATGGTAGGCTTTGTACTCAATGGCAAATTGATACCAAGATTCGGTGGTCCTTCAACACTTTTCAGTGTCCCATGCATAGACTGTGGAAGGAAGGAAGGAAGGAAGGCAATTAGATTATATCTGTTATTTAAAAGGAATTGGAATATTCAAAATTCAAATGAGTTTCTTTTTTTTTATTATGGGCTTGTGTGCAAATAGTTGGGCATTTTATCAGTCTCATGTGACAATCAATGAGAGGTAATTTAGGGTCACGATTTTGATGACCCTATACCATGATATTAGAAGACCTTATGCCAGTGGTTCTCAACCTATGGGTCGCGACCCCATTTGGGGTTGATCGACCATTTTTCGGGGGTCGCCAAAGGTGGCAATCCGCCATTTTCTCCCCTCCGGGGGCGGCGCTGCACATGCGCACTGCGCATGGGGGTGGCACCGCGCATGCGCGCCACGCATGGGGGCAGCACCGCGCATGCCCATAACGTTTGTGTGACGGGGGTCGCCGTCACACAAACGTTGAGAACTGCTGCCTTATGCAATGACAATCAATCACAGGAGACTTTGTGTGAGTAAGCTGAAATCTTACACAAGATTTGGTCTCATTGCATAAGGTCTTCTAATATCATAGTATAGGATCATCAAAATCGCGACACTAAATTATTTCTGAGATGTCACGCCATTTGAATTTTTGAAGTTGAAGGCATTTCAGAGCTTGAAAAAAACCACAAATTTCAGTACTGTTCTGGAACAGTGAATTAGTAATTGACGTGGTAATGAAGAGGGACGCTCATCCTTTTTATCTGAATGCACTGCTAAATTCAGGAGTTTGCTCACCTTATAAGCCCAGAGTATCTCCCACTTTCTGACATCTACCCTTGATAACTTCGCTATTATTAATTATCATCCCTTATTGTTTTATGCAATAGTTTGCTTCCAAGTAAAAGTGGATGACTTGTACCTTAATATGATCCATCATGAGTTGTTTCTGTGCATACAACAGCGAGCAGTCTGGACATTTGAAGACAGATACTTTCTGGTTTTCAATGTGCTGGTCAAAGTGACGATACAGCAATGGCTGCAGGGTAAACACTGTGTCGCACATGGAACATTTGTATATTATTCTAAAAACCAAAGAGAGTTGAAGAAGTAATGACTGCCCATTGCAGTCCTTTAGTTCATAGAACGACTAAACAAAAGTAGTGTTACTTGCAACAACAACAACAACAACAAAAGCCACATTCAACATTCTTTGCCCCCAGATCGATATATTACAATTTATTCAGATGCATTTCTCCAAGTAAGAGATACTTATAGAATATTTGGACATGACTGAAATGTTCTCACTTGTGCTTGTTATATTAGGATTCATACTGACAGAAATTCATTTTGCCTCCAGATTTGGAGAACTATATGGAGGAAGAATGGAACCCTACCTTTCAGTCCTGCCTCAGTATGGACCCTAACTTCTGTATGTTAGCAACAGCATTTGAGGCTTATACACTGCCACATAGCACTTTACAGTAGAGGTCCCCAACCTTTTGGGCACCAGGGACCGGTTCCATGGAGAGAGGTTTTTCCGCAGACCAGAGGGGGCGTGGTTTTGTGTGCTGCCTGCATTCCACGGATGGGGCTTTGGTTGTTTATGCAGCCCGGTTTCTGGCATGCTGCGGCCCAGTACTGCTCCATGGACTGGGGGTTGGGGAACCCTGCTTTATAGCACTCTCTGGGTGGTTCACAATGTAGAGGCATTACTTGCATATTGCCCCCAGCAATCTGGGTCCTCATTTTACCAATCTAGGAAGGATGGAAGGCTGAGTCTGGATTATTGCAGGATTGTCTGCAATAATGCACTTTAACCACTGTGCCACCAGGACTCTATATTAGTTCTATAGATGCACAGCTGTGCTCAAACAGACATTCCTTACAGGTCTTTCATCTACTAATATATAAAGGTCAGGAACATATCCGGAAGGGCACAGTGATATTGGACAAGAGGCTAACGAGTATGATCCATTCTCTGCATTATAAATTCATTCTAAGGAAGTTTCCATGACATTTCAAAGAGTCTCAGTGTGAATTGCCAGAGGCAACAAAACACAAATTATTTTGCTGTTAATCAGGAAGTGTTGTCAGTCATTTACCATTAAGGCACATCGTGATATTTTTGCCCCAAACAACATTTGAAGCAGGCACTATTCCTCAGGCAAAACATTTGTGCAAGGTCAAGAGCTATCAAAAGTATTGTGGTGGTACCAGCAAACATTTTTAGGTTTCTTTTCTAATCCCTAAGTTTTGTTTTTTTTTTTACAATGGAAAAGCATTCTAAATGACAAGAAGTTAACTATTTAAAGCAGTCTGGCTTCACTGATAAAATAATGCGAATTTCCTGTTAAAGTTAACACAAATATCAATATTTTTACTGCAACATAAATTTTCATAAACATGGGTGACCAATGTCTGAGAAACGCGGTGCTCCAATTCAGTCTCTCAAACTCCTAAAGAACTGCAGAAAGCATCTGGTGATGCTGTGACCAGATGGAAGGGACATGGCCAAATGGAAAAAAATTGAAAACTTGAATCAGATCTTCCTTATGGTATCTTCCAACTCTAGAAGTGTACAGTTCTATAATATCTCAGGATCACAACAAGCGATAATCACATTTTACCAATATGCCCAATATTGTTCTTTATTTCCAAAAGTCTAAAACAAAGGTCCAAGTAACAAACCAGAATAGCAGACTGTTCATGAAAAAAAAAACCCAGGCACTGCTTAAGGTAGCAACATCCTAAAATTCATCCTATATAGGCTTGATTATGGGAGGAGGTATAGAGATAACAATCAAGGAATCTATAAATGAGTTTTTACAAAAAAATACAGCTTTGCACAGAGAATGTGCAGAAAATGCAGAGTGAATTTCAAAGCTATGAGTGCAACAGAAATCAAAATCATGGAGAGAATATCATCCAAATCCTCCTTATTCTTACTAACCCTCTTCCCTCATAAAGTCTTTTTATTCTTGGCTATGTTTGCATCACAAACTAGCCAACCACATTACAATGTAATATGAAGAATACAGCCAGTCCTCTACTTACAATCATTTGTTTAGTGACCATTTGAAGTTACAATGGCACTAAAAAAGCAACTTATGACCGTTTTTCAAACTTATGACCATTGCAGCATCCCCATGATTATGTGATCAAAATTCAGACGCTTGACAACTGACTCATATTTATGACGATGGCAGTTTCGCAAGATCACATGGTCACCTTTTCTGACCTTCTGACAAGCAAAGTCAATGGGGAAGCCAGATTCACTTAACAGCCATGTTACTAATTTAACAACTGCAGGTGCTTCACCCAGCAACTGTGGCAAGAAAGGTTGTAAAATGGGGCAAAATTCACTCAACAGCTGTCTTGCTTAGCAATGGAAATATGGGGCTCAATTGTGGTCATAATTCGAGGACTACCTGTAAGTCAAAGCAGAGTAATAAATGGATTACCATCATGCAGACACTGAAAACAGGTCATTGAACAAACAATTCAGTTAACCATAGGTGTTTCCCATTCACCTATTAGGCTCAGAATTTCTGTTGCTAAGCAAGGCAATTGTTGAGTTGAACCCAATTTTACAACCTCTTTTGCCACAGTTTTTAAGCAGATCATTGAGGGTGTTAAAGGAATCATGTGGTTGTTAAGCAACTCGAGCTTCCTTCACTGGCTTGGAAGGTCACAAATGGTGATCCTATTATTCTGGGGCACTGTAACTTTCCTAAATGCATGCCGGCTGCCAAGCTTCTAACTTTTAATCACATGACTATAGGGATGCTGCATGGACATCAATGCAAGGATCGGTTGCATTTTTTCAGGGCCACTGTAACTCTGAACAGTTCTTAGAACCATGGCTGTAAAAGAAGGGCTGCCTATATTTGGAAATCCCTCAGCAACTTCTGACTGAAGCAACTGATCCCAGATATTCAAAATGTTGCCATCATTTTAAAGTTGCTTTGCCCTCCAGTTGTATACCATAAAGGCTATCACTTCTTTTGCCCACAGAAATATGGGCTTCCTTTGTCACACTCAGTATCAGGATCTTTTGGGTCCATTATTACAAGTTTTAAATTTCTTTGTTAGCATTTAACTCACTTCCTTTGAACAGGAACTGATGTCTAGGATTTCAAGGGCATCCGTGAAACAATAGTGATAGTAAAAATAATCAAGATGATTATTGAAGACGTCCCTATTTTTTATGTGGATAAAAATGGCTGGCTTTGCCGTATGGGAAAAATGGATAAATTTCACACAATATAAATTGGATATAAAAAAATATCATTTAGCTTTTTTATAACTTGTATACAAATTTTGATATTTCATAGATTGTATTCTTTCTCTTTTTTTCTTCTTTTTTATTTCTTTTCTCTTTTCTTTTTCTTTTTTTTTAAGTATCTTTTCTTTTTAATGTTTATGCTTTTTTTGTTATATATATTTTATTGTTAACTAGCTTATAAGTTGTTTAATCTTTCTTAGGATTTTTATAATTGTAGTTAAGCCTATATTCAGCTTTGGGAAGCTCGGGGGGGGGGATGGGCGGGGTGGTTGGGGAGAGGTTGAGGGTTGTTTTATTTTTGTTGTTGTTTTTTGTAAAAACTTTTTAAAAAATTCTTAATAAAAAAAAATGGCTGGCTGGAGAATTCTGGGACTTGAAGTCCATAAGTCTTAAAGTTGCCAAATTTGGGCACCCCTGCTCTAAAGAATGTCATTTATCCTCCAGGCACAGCAGCTTCCTGTTCTTGGGTTCAGTTGTTGCCACCTGTGTAATTCAGGATTATCTTTCTTTCTGGTCCAGTGATTTGACCATACCAGGATTTCCGTCTTTCTGCCTACTCTCCAATTACAACTGCAGCTAATAGCTAAGCCAGGGATGGGGAGTGGGGAACAAGGGTAAATAGTCCATAACTGAATTCAGCAGCATATAAAATGGTTCATTGAAGTTAACTCCCACACAAAATTGTATGGTGGAAACATAACCCAATATATCAGATCCAAATGTCAATTTTAAAGGCCATCCACACATAGTGGAAAAGGAAGTAACCATTCTGGCTTAACAGAAATTATCTCAAAATAATCACCGTTATATGCATTGCCCTGAGGCAGAATTGAAGGACACTCTTAGTCAGTGTTTCTCAACCTTGACAATTTTAAGGCATGTGGACTTCAACTCCCAGAATTCCACAGCCAGCACTGCTGGCTGTGGAATTCTGGGAGTTGAAGTCCACATGCCTTAAAATTGTCAAGATTGAGAAACACTGCTCTTAGTGCAACTCCCCCATTTGTAGCATCAGGCATGTTAAACTGCTGGCCCATGGGCCAGATGCATCACACCAAAACAGTGCCAAACCCATTGCCGGCAATGGGGAAAATGTCACGATACGTTGCGCGACGTCATGTGACGTGAATTTGACATGCCTGATCTAACTGGAGGGGCAAAAACCTTCAAATTCAGAACTTTTTTTTAGCTTGAGATGGATTGCTCCAACCTTGCAAAAGGAGCTTATTTTCTACCTGAAATATCTTATACACATTTTATACATCTTATATAGCAACTGCATTGTCCAAAAGGCACAGTGCGCGCCCTTCAGCTCTAGCAATATATGAATTACAGATAGTCTTCGATTTACAATAGTTCACGTAATAACCATTCTATGTTACAACAGCACTGAAAAAGGTGCCTTATCACCATTTATTCACACTTATGACCTTTGCAGCATCCCCATGATCACATAATTAAAATTTGGATGCTTGGCAACTGACTCATATTTATGACAGTTGCGGTCTCACGGTGTCATGTGATCTCCTTTTGTGATCTTCTGACAAGCAAAGTCAACGAGGAAGTCAGATTCCCCTAACAATCATGTTACTAACTTATCAGCTGCAGCAACTGTGGCAAGAAAGGTTGTAAAATGGAGCAAAACCCACTTAAAAACTGCCTCACTTAGCAACAGAAATTTTGGGCTCAATTGTGATCGTAAAGTCGAGGACTACCTGTACTAAGCGCTTTTGCCTTTCCCTGCTTCTCAAATAGCATATTTTTTTTTTAAAAAAAAAACGCCCTACCACTTTATACAGGATACACTTCTTAAGAAAAAAAGCATACATTATATTTGAGCTTCAATAATTTCTGGAATTTGACAAGAAGAACACTTACTTAGGCTCTCCTATTTTGATTCCAGGATGTTGTGTATAGGCATGGGAATGGGTGCTGGGTGCTGATTTGAATGCCATTGGGCAAATAGGACACTTGTAGAAGACTTCACAATGAGAACCTTGAATATGGGACTTGAGTGCAGCCACGTCAGAATATACCACGTTGCAGTGGACACAGCTATAAGAAAGATAGGACAGAGCTTATAAATGATGCTGCAATTTTTTTTCTACACAGATTTCTAACTGGGCACAGAAATATTACTCAAGCAGAAACAGAAAAGAAAGCATGAATTCGTCAATAAACATTGGAAAAGATTCTTACTGTAGCTGAAAGGAAAGCAATGGGTGATGGAGTAGGGCAGGACTCAAAGGCCCTTTTCCAAAAGGCAACTGGACTCTCTCTGTTTTTCCCTGAAGATGTTTCGCTTCTCATCCTAGAAACTTCTTCAGTTCTTAACAACTTCTTGGATAATAATAATAATAATAATAATAAAGTTGGAAGGGACCTTGGAGGTTATCTAGTCCAACCCCCTGCTCAGGCAGGAAACCCTATACCATTTCAGAAAAATGGCTGTCCAGTCTCTTCTTAAAAACTTCCAGTGTTGGAGCATTTACCACTTCTGGAGGCAGGTTGTTCCACTGGTTAATTGTTCTAACTGTCAGGAACTTTCTCCTTAGTTCTAGGTTGCTTCTCTCCTTGATTAGTTTCCATCTGTTGCTTCTTGTCCTGCCTTCAGGTGCTTTGGAGAATAGCTTCACTCCCTCTTCTTTGTGGCAGCCCCTGAGATATTGGAATACTGCTATCATGTCCCCCCTTGTCCTTCTCTTCGTTAAACTAGACATGCTCAATTCCAGCAACCGTTCCTTATATGGTTTAGCCTCCAGTCCCCTGATCATCTTTGTTGCTCTTCTCTGTACTCTTTCTAGAGTCTCAGCATCTTTTTTACATCGTGGTGACCAAAACTGGATGCAGTATTCCAAGTGTGGCCTTACCAAGGCATTGTAGAGTGGTATTAATACTTCACGTGATCTTGATTCTATCCCTCTGTTAAATGCAGCCCAGCACTGTGTTGGCCTTTTTGGATGAGAAGCAAAATGTCTTTAAGGAAAAACAGAGAAAGTCAAGTTGCCTCTTGGAAGAAAAAAAAGCCCCTTTGGGACAACTTGGATGACTGAGAATCTCCATAGATGGGAAAGAGATTTTACCTTCCTACGTGAAACATATATCTGCATACATAGACATCCTGGAAGTGAGATAAATTCATAACAAATAATAATTTTTAAAAGATCTACAATTGTCTTCCCAGCAGTACAAAAGTAGAGACAGCCAAGGCAGCTGTATCACATGGAAGAAGTTCCCTAACATTCCTTGTGCAGGATGTGAAGACAGAGCTGGGTGAGCCTGGCCAGAGGCTTGCTGAGAGAATCCACAGTGGCCAGGAAAAAGGCACATCTTGGGCCTCTGTTTGTTTTAAATATTGCTATTTGACTTTATATCTAGCAGAAGAGCACAGCTAATAAAAATGATTACAACTTAATAACTATAACATTGACGATAAATATAGAAGAATTTAAAAGGGAAAAAAAAGATAAGACAATATATCTTTCCTTCCATATCAGGAAACTGCTTTTCACACATGATGTTAAACTATGTCCACATATAAGATATGAGGGCAATACTATACAGGAGATAATATATTAAGATAAAACCATAATAAAATAACCGTAATATGGAGCCATAGAATTGCAATGGGATAGATGTTATAATTGGCTTAGATTAAACTATGCAAAACTTGTATTCCCTGTTCTCAGGGTGCAATATGAGACAATGGAAGCCTTACTACATTTTATGAGCGCTATGTGGCGATCAAGCACAAACAAACTAGCTTTCATACATGACATTTTGAACTATTTTTCTTGGCAAGATCAGTCCATACTATACATGGAAAGATGCTGAAAATTTATTCCAACCTGTGAAAAGTGAGGAAGTGAAAACCAATGTTTCCTCCTACATCAGTGTTTTCAAATTTGACAACTTTTAAGATATGTGGACTTTAACTCCAGCCAGCATGTCCACACCTCTTAAAGTTGTGTTTAAAAAACACTGCTCTACACTCTGGACTACAGTGCCTTCTGAGATGTAGACAGCCCTATTTCTATTGCCTTTAAGATGGAATTGAATGCCAAAATTTTCCACAGGGCATTTGGGCAGACAGTTGTGATACTTTAGCTCAGTTGGAGAATTGTGGTGCTTTACCATCATTTACAATCATCACCTTAAATCTTAAGCAGTGTGTAAAATGTGATATAATTTATATGTTTGTATAAGTGTAGAGGGCATAAGGAGTGGCCCTGAAGAACAGGAGGAAGAGTCCAAGGTTGTGATCAGATAAGCAGCCGTTGAGGCTGTTCCAAGAAACTAACTCGAGTAAACATCTCAAAATCTCACACTACAGACAGAACCACCATTTAATAAGCAAAAACAAAGGTTATAAGTAGAGATAGTCCTCGACTTATGACTATAATTGATCCCAAATTTTCTGTTGTTAAGTGAGACATTTGTTAGGTGAGTTTTGCCCAATTTTATGACCTTTTCTGCCATAGTTGTTAAGTGAATCACTGCAGTTGATATGTTACTAACCTGGTTGTTAAGTGAATTTGGCTTCCCAATTGACTTTGCTTGTCAGAAGTTGCAAAAGATGGCCCTCAGACACTGCAATGGTCATAAATATGAACCAGTTGCCAAGTGTCCAAATTTTAACCACATGATCATGGGGATGCTGCAAAGGTCATAAAATGGTCGTAAAACTCTGAAAAACAATCATAAGTCAATTTTTCAGTGCCGTTGTAACTTTGAACGGTCACTAAATGAACTGTTGTAACTCAAGGACTACCTGTACAACTTGATCCTTTGTGAGACACCAGTTAGTTTGGTCTGGAAGGTAAAGATATTTTCTGATGAGAAAAATTTCCCATGATGCTTCTATCCCCTTAATCAACAAGATAGAGATAGTGATCAAGATAGTGACAAAAGAAAGGCATACTTCCTTTCCAGTCCCAATAGAGTGTTATTTTTGTATTTATTTGAATAATTTTAAATCATCGTCATCATACTAACCGGAATCCAACTCTTCTTGTATAATGCAGGCAATTCTTTGTGACATGAGTTTGGAAGTGGACTGATCTGCAAATGGCCCCACATTCAGGACATGTATATGGAGATTTATGCTGATGTATCCTCTGATGTGATGCAAAACTGCACAAATTTGGAAGCAACATCTGGCAGATACTGCAGGTCTTCTACAGAATTAAAAAAATTGCGACAATCAGCCATTGAACATAGGCACAAATACTCCACAGTACAGAGTTGGTTATGACCTGCCAGAAACCTTTGAAATAAAATCACATTAGGAAATACCAGCATTCAAAATAATAACAATAAAATGGCCATTACCTACAATTGCTTTGTCTTTTGTCTTTTTACACATCCAGATTAAGAACAACTTGCACATTACAATCAGTAAGGTACAAGTGTTTCTTCACTTGCCTTCACTTCTTACCCTTTCATTTTCTACCTTCTTCTCTCTTCCACTAAGACGAAATTAGATTATAAATTCCTTGGGACAGATCTCCCTTCTTTTGTTTACAGTGCCTCCCTTCGATTGCAACCAATAAAGTGTTATCTACCCACTTTGTGAGTTTGGTTCCACTGTTGAATTGCTCAAGAATTTTTCTAACTGTTCAAGAAGAATCTGCCTTCTTCTAAGGTAAACCCATTATTCTCCATCCCACATTGTGGAACTACAGAAAACCTTTCTTGAATTTCTTCTAAATGACATTCTTTCAGACATTTGAACATTCCTATCATTACCCACGATAGTTATCTTTTCTTAATAAAAAGCCTACCCAGTTCCCTGAATCTCTCTTCACAGGACTTAAGTCTCTAGTCTCCTGATCATCCTCAGATCCCAAACCTATTCAAGTCTGAAATCTTCTCAAAGGGTGGTGTTTACCAAAGCAGAACAAAGTACAATGACTATTCCTCAAGTTTTAAAATGTATGTTTCTAGTAATGCAGTCCACAACTGCATTTGCTTTTTTCGCAGCAGTATTATACTGTGTAAACCAGTGTTTCTCAACCTTGACAATTTTAAGGCATGTGGACTTCAACTCCCAGAATTCCACAGCCAGCAATGCTGGCTGTAGAATTCTGGCAGTTGAAGTCCACATGCTTTAAAATTGTCAGGGTTAAGAAACACTGGTATAAACTAAAGGGCTGTGAGAATAACCTTGGGAGACAGGAGGAGGAGGAGCTCCAGCCTAGAATAGAGCTTTCCAAATTTGGCAACTTTAATACTTGTGGACTTCAACACCTACAATTCGTCAGCCAGCATGGCTGGTTGAAGAATCCTGAGAGTTGAAGTCCACAAGTCTTAAAGTTGCCAAGTTTGGAGACCCCTACTAGACAACAGTCAGACAAGAGATATAAGGTATTTCTTATATCAGCCCATATAATGTAATGAGCCGAGGTGGCGCAGCAGTTAGAGTACAGTACTGCAGGCCACTTTAGCTGACTGTGTTCAGCAGGTCAGCAGTTCAAATCTCACTGGCTCAAGGTTGACTCAGCCTTCCATCCTTCCGGGGTAGGTAAAATGAGGACCCAGATTGTTGGGGGCAATGTTAATATATATACACCACTTAGAGAGTGCTTGCACTTAAAGCGGTGTATAAGTCTCATAAATAAATAAAATAAATAAGAAATGGCGATAGAGACAGCAATAGATGTTTTGTGTTCATTCTACTATTTCAATTCACAATAATCTTTGTTAGGCAAATAGATAGAAACTGGCTTCAGACTAGCTTTCTGTAAAGTAAAAGCAGGGATGGGGGGGAGTGCTTTCAGACTTGCAATATACTGTTACAGTACTCTAACCTTATAACAAATGTAGTATTAGGACCAATGATTTTGGTTTTCTGCTGGACTGCCTCAAGGGGAATGACATATAGCTTGCTAATATTTGGTTTAGAAAAAAAGAAAATAAGACTTCTTAGGGAAAAAGTAAACTCCTCTATGGATTTATAATACTGTACAACATTTTTTTAAAAATCAATTCAGACACTTCTGAATCATTTGCCATAATTGGTAGCAACGTTGTAAAGCTCAACAATTCTGAAAAATGATCCAGACTACAGTGAAACTATTTTTAAAGCCTGAATTCCCATCAACTTGCCATCTTTTTTAATCAACTTCACTAAACCATGCATCCCATCAAGGTATGCTGAATACGTATGTTTCATATTGAAATTTCAGGATGCTTTAGACTGGAAAGGTTGTTTGATTCCCCCTTAGAAGGATGGTTAACAACGTTGTGGGAGTAAGCGTGAGGGCCTAGAATAACCTCGCACCTTAAAAATAAAACTGACACAGAATTCAATTCAAAATAGAAACCATTTCTGGATTGTAACTTAATACACAGATTTGTACCTCATCCAAAATGTGGGGTTTTCTGCATGCACAGTCTGTATTTTAGTTTTATAAGTTATCTGAATGAGAATAGATTCTCAGTATCAATTCAATGTATTATAGCTTATTTCAGTCGGTGATGATTGACCCTAGTTCTTTATATTTATTTTCAGCTCAAAGCTTAACCATCTCTGGAAGCTTCTTAATCTTTTAAAATGATATAATATATTCAACTATTTATAAATAATTAATGATATACTGCACATATCATGAAACCTCCATGATATTTTTAGATTCCTTGCTTATTCCCTTCAATCTCTTAGTCTTTTCAGAACTCTTTTACTTGTGTTTGTTTATACTCTATCTCTAAAAAAAAGGGGGATTTGATAATCTAAAGCAGAGGTCCCCAACCCCTGGTCCCTGACCTGGTGCCGGGCCACAGCCCGTTCGGAACTGGGCTGCGGAAGTGGTGGACAAGAGTGCGCGCACACAACTGCATTTGTAAAAGCAATGTGCGCACTCATGAAACTATCTCTTCTCCCTCTGCCACCACTTGCATTGGTCTGCCAAGCCACTGATCTGAACTGTACTGATGTCCTTTTACATCAGAGGTCACCAACCTTTCTCGGTGGGCAGACAGGAGGGAAAGGGAGGGGGAAGCATTTTACACGCGCACTGGACCGCAGCATGCGCACAATGCATGGCGCAGTGCCCCGTTTCTGCACCCTGAGGTGCGGCAGCACCCATTCTTGCATCCCGCAGCACAGAGGTGGCCCATTTTCACACTCCGAGGTGCGGTGGTGGCCTGTTTTCATGTCCCGAGGCACAACGGCAGCCCATTTTCATGCCATTCAGCACAGCGGTCCATTTTCGCACCCCAAGGCATGGCAGCAGCCCTTTTTCATGTCCTGTGGCCATGGTACTAACATGAATGGGGGGGGTGTCCCGTGGCCCAGTGGCCAAGAGGCCACGGCCCACTACTGGAACGCGGCCCACAGGTTGGCAACCCCTGCTTTACATTAATAAAATCAATTTGTTCCAGGTCACCCTGCTATCTAGATGGGAAATGGGATTTGAATTCTACATTTTAATGAAGATCCAGATTCAAGCTCACCCTCAGCTATTGAACTGATTTCAGCCAGTCAATGATTTCTTGTCTGTTAATTTCTCTCACTTTCAACTCCAATCTTCTCAGCATTCAACCATTTGAATTTACTACAGTCTAGATATGATATAGATCATCCCAATCATTTTTTGAGATAAATAAACCATGTGGACTTGAACTACTTTAGGAATCTGGCATGGCCCTTTTATTTTACATTCTTCCAGAGGAAAATTATATGATTTATAATTATAATTTATATGGAGTAAATTAGCCCATCACAAGAGACCGCCACTCAAAAAAGCTAATAAAATAAATAATAAAATTCATTAAAAAGGAGCTCTCTGATTTTTGGCCACCACAGAGAGGCACACAGTAGACCTTCCTCTGTGATGATTTAAATCAGTATTCTCAACCTACTACACCTCCTCTCAAGTATCAAATAATCTAATTCCGATAGAAGAGAATATATGTAAGCTCAGGGTTGAGCTGTGGAATCCTTGGTGCTCTCTGACCTTGATTATTTGCTCGCATATATTTCATTATACACTTAGATAACATTATCAGTGGTAGTGTGTGTGTGTGGGCTGCTCCCTATTTATATAAAGTGGCTGCCCTGCCAGTATTGGTGGGGTGTGGTTTTCTCCTCGGTACCCTTGATTATAGTATTGTTTTCTGCTTGACTGTTTGTCTGGTGTTACCCTGCATATCTGGTTGTTGGTTCCTGGAATGGATGTGTTCTGGTCTTTTTCTTTCTTTTTTAGCTTTTTTAAAGTTGTCTATTTTGAATGGTGTATAAAACTAGGGGAAATGGTGCTTTGACTACCATTGTAAAAGGGAACAAACCCCACACTCCACTACCACTGATGGTATTATTTAGTCAGGTAATGAAACATTGCAAGCACACATCCAAGCTCAGAAAGCACCAAGGATTCCACAGTCTGATTCCCATCTTGATAGAAATAAAAAACTCCATTTTTCCCAAGATAGATAATTATTTACAGTATATCCTTCAAAGCTGGTTTAGAACTAGTCATGATGGCATTGATTTCAAGCACTCTGATTTTCTTCTCAAAGATCAAGATCATGCTCAGCCCAATGAAAAATACTGCATTCTGGTATAACAATGGAATATTCCAATAAAATATCCACAGAGGAAATTTGCCACAAACTGGCAAGGGTAACACAAGAAGCATCAATCTGGGGAAGTTAATAATTCTATGTCCAAATTAGAGATCAACAATCTAGTTTCAGAGGCACACCAATTACAGTTCAATTGGAAGATAACCCACAATGTAGGAGGTGAACACAAAGAAAACCCTAAGCTATGGGTCATAACAGAACAACGGAGTTAGAAGGGATCTTGGGGGGGGGGTCTTCTAATCCTCTCCCATAGATGGAAATCACATCAATATTTCATTACAACCAGATGGAAACCAGGATTGAGGAAAGTATAAGGACTATTGGTGATTTAATGACAAAATAAGATGCACACCCTGTCTTCTTCAACTTGCTTCTTTGGCTAGGGGTGCAGCAGAACAAAATTCTCAGCCAAATGAGATACAACATACCAAAACCACATTTTGTACCGGTATAACCCTCATTATTTTATCCATTTAAAATGTTTCTGGTCATTTTTTAGAACAGTCCCAACTGTTGTAGCAAACCAACTGATAAAAAGGACTTACAGATATGTCTGTTAGATTTTTTTCAAAACAAACATGAATGACATGAT